TAAAACATATAATTTTGTGGAAGCTGACAAGATACAGAACATCTAAAGCGGAGGTCTTCAACAGGGGGTCCGCGACCCCTAGGGGATCCGTGGAGGTATTGCATGGGGGTCGCGAAAGTTTTGCAATAACTGCAATATTTTCCACTAATTGAAATGTCTTTAAATCCACACTAACATGAATTGAACACACTGTAGTAAACAGATAAATGGAGGCTGAAGATGATTTTCAGTCATCAATGCTCACATTCAGCGACACACAGGAGCTCTTTCAAGCTGGGCACCGTTTCATTCACAACACCTGTCCCATCGACCAGGAATCAGAGTCAGAAATACTTTAAGTATCAAATGTACTTTTGTTACATTAATCCATATGTAATAAATTGACTATAGGACCAGTTTGATATAACACAATTTCATACAATATATATAATTAGGGGATCCCCGCTCCATCTTGCTATCAGTTTGGGGGTCCTTGCCCTGGAAAACGTTGAAGACCCCTGATCTAAAGAGTTACTTCAACACAGTGGTGGACGAAGTACTCAATAGCAGTACTTGAGTGAAAATGTTGATACTCATAGTCAAATCTTACTCAACTATAAGTAAAAGTTACACAGTCAAACGTCTACTCAAGTTAAAGTATTAAAGTACTCAGTATTATTAAAGTATTTAAAAGCACACATTACATTTTCTGATATTAGTATATTTCTGTCTAATGTTCAGAGTAATTTTAAACAACCTTGTAACTTTCAGAAACCACCTGCTACATATTCTATACCCTTTGTAAAGAACTTCAGCGTAGAAATGACACAAAACTAAGGAGTGATATTTTGATTATTATCAACATTTTTATTATCATATATAATAATGTAATTTCCCTCTGGGATTATTTAAGTATGTCTGAATCTGATTCTGTTATTATTATTAACATGAAAATATTGATTCTCCTCACACTTTCACAAAGGAATATTATATTCCTATATTCCGAATATAGGTTTAAGATTGAATATATTACCAAAAAGAAACAACAACTTTGCTTTTAGACTTGTCCAACTAAACAACATGGACACATAGTAAAATCTAATGCCTTAATAATATGTATAAACTATAAATGATATCTGCCCTGAGTTTCTTACATTAGTGGAATGCCATGCAAATGTCTAAAACAGGGTTGTCAGAATTCATCCTATGGGCTGATATGTTGTATGTTTTAACAGTGGATTAAAAAGCTAAGCTGGCCCAAAAAGGAACAAGGAACTAGCATCTTCCTAGAAATGTAGTGGAGTAGAAAGTACAATATTTGACTTTGAAATGTAGTGGAATAAAAGTTATAAGTACCCTAAAAAAAATTACTTCAGTAAAGTAAAGATACTCAAAATAGTACTTAAGTACAGTAATCTAGAAAGTACTTTGTTACTTTCCACCACTGCTTAAACAACAAGAACTCTGTGTAGTTTGTTAATGAGCTTCTGTCTGACCTACAGCTAAATAGCAGCAGTCAGAGTAAAAGTTTCCTAATGTTTTCATGTTTGCCTGAATGCTTCTCGGCTTTGGTCTGATAAACCACTGACTTCTCTCTCCCCTTTTCTCTCTCTGGCCTTTAGCCGTCCTAATGTGCACTAAATGAAAACAGAGACCCCCCGCCACCACCTGGAAAACACTGAAGGACTAAGTGGATTGAAGAAGGCAGCCGCCGAGTGAGGTAGTCGGGGTAGGGAGGGGAGACGCAGAGAGGATTAGGAGCTAATCCAGTCCAACGAACAATCCTTGCAGAGCTTTATCGTTCTTGCAGGACAACGCAGACAAAACAGTTCACGGATTTATACGCTGAAACAACGTGTCCATCTTCTTTTACCTCTGCTGTGACAGTCTTAATTTGGAAAGAGCTTGGATCTTTGCTGCAGATGAACCAGTGGACTAAGAACAAAAGAGACAGGATGTCCTGTGGACTTTATGGTGCCACACAAAGAGATGAACCTTTTAGTAGAAGGAGGAGCACATGACTGTGGATCTCTGCTTTTTCACCTCGGCCTGATGAAAAGACACTAAACGTCTGTTTGGAATTTGTGATCAGGCCTCATTTACAGTAAGAGGATGACTTTTTTGTTTTTTGGTGGGAATTTGAATTTGAATTGTATTTACTTAAAGAAAGAAGAACAATGCATAGAGAATTTGAAAGATAATACAATAAGGTAATAATAACTCAAAATTGTGTTCCACTACATAAGGTCCCCCCATAAAATCATCCAGTCCATTTTACTTCCTCCTTAGAGTTGGTTAAATTAAAGCAAATATGCTGGCAGTGTCCTAAAGATGGAGTTTAACCACACATAACTTTCATAGCTTTTGGGTAAAAGGCTGAGCACATTCTGGCTTTACAGTATAAGGTTTCTTTTGGAAGGGATCCTCTTTAGGTGGTAAGTTTCAGCTAAGGTCAGTGCAATTCCCCTTTGTCTAAAACATTTACAATTAAAAATAAACATGTATTTTTCTTATTACTTTTATCACACAGCAGCTTTCAGTGTATGTACACATGTGGTTAGATCGTGTATGTCTGGGCAGCCATCCACTGAACCAAATATACCCAGTGCCCAGTCAGACCAGAACTGTCCAACCGCACGGACTGTGGTAACCAGAGGAAACCCAATATGGCCTTGTAATTTCTTCTCTTTGTTATTTTGAGGTGACTGAAAGCTGCTGCTGTGCAGAGAAGGGAGCTTGGTTGTTTGGGAAAGATGTGGGAAAGAATAAAGGATATAAACAGATATAAGTGGCTGTGCTGGCATCCCATGGCGTCGATCATAAAGAGAAGCAGTGGGTAGTGCTGGATGTATGAAGAACTGATTTTATACTGAACAGCTGCACATTTATGCTTTCTTTCCTTGACTAATTTCATTTTTCTCTCTGGTTTTACAGCAAACACAAAGTTGGATTTTAAACTTCACTGACATGAAATTAAAGTCCACACATTATCAATCATTTTAAAGGAAAATTAAACAACTTTTCTTCCACCATGAGTCTGGGAAAACTGCCAGGGATTAAAGGCCTTGTGCCCGGATCTCAGGGGAAACGTCGCTTCAAGAGTGATCTCTCAGTGGACATGATTAGCCCCCCGCTTGGGGACTTCCGACACACCATGCATGTGGGCCGCGGAGGGGACGTTTTTGGTGACACTTCCTTCCTGAGCAACTATGGAGGCATCCGGGAGCCTGGAAGTCCGGACTCAGCGAGCAGCTCCAAGTCAACCGGCTTCTTCACACGTACCTTTCGCCATGTACGGAGGACCTCTGGGCCTCAGCCTCGAGGAGGTTCCCGGGATTTGTCATCCCCTCCTCCGGACATCTCACCCATCATTAAAAATGCCATCTCTTTGCCTCAGCTCAACATAGATTCTGTCAATGGTTGCAGACAGAGGGCACTGTTCCCCAACTCCATGAGCTCAGCAGATGACTCCTTCTGCACATATGGTGAGATAAGACAGATAATCAGAGCCAGCATGGGATTGGTGTTAAGGATCTTAGGGGGGGAGATTATCTCCATTAAAAGTGAGCAGAGATACTGTTATGGTTGAGATCAAACTCAAACATAATAGTTTCAGTAGATGATGAAGCATGTTCTTTAGTGCCAGATTATTTCATAATAAATGAATCAGGTATTTTAAAGAACATGACTGACCCTCTTATGAATGAAGCTGTCAGATCAGGGCAGACCAGAATTGTTATGGTATGAGGGTTAGGTCAGTGTCAGCTTTCAGCAGGACTTTCCTTCTGAATGTGGGCGTCATGTGTTAATTTCAGAGGTGAGACTTGAGTCACATTCATTTGCTTAAGTCATATTTCAATAATTCTATGACTTTAAACTTTACTTAAAAATATTCAGGGACTTGTGACTTAACTTAGACTTTTACCATGTTTTGGCTCTATATTTCTCATAACTCATTCAAAATACTCAGGTTATGCTGAGCTGTTTTCTATAGTTATGCTGCTATAGGCTTGGGCTACCGGAGGACACTGGGTTTACTTTTCATCTTTCTGATTCATTCTATATTTATTTCTATCATTCTGCAATATTTGTTAGTTCTATTCATAATTTTATGTTTTTTACTACTTTTTCTTGTCATAGTAGCTTCACCTGGTCTTTTCTTGTTTGACTGTGACACCATGGTGAGAAATATTAGTTGCGCTACTGCCATCAACACATAGATGTTGGAGTTGGGCCTATTTTTTCAGTGTTGTCCTGTTTCTTTTACTGAGCATTGTGTTCTCTTTCATCTTTTGACATGGGAACTGGCTCGGAGCTGGTCTGCTATGCTCTGTATTTCCTAAATAGGGCCACCTTAGGACCCAGTAAACAGTTACCTTTTACATATCTTTTTTTTAAAGCACTAGTAGCTGGTTTTTTCAACAGTAGGCTGACAGGAAAGGGGGTATGAGAGAGGGGAAGAGACGTGGGAAAAGGAGCACAGGCCAGATTTGAAACTGGGTCGCCCATGTTGAGGACTATTTCTGCTTCTCTCTCCTTGAACCCCCCAGTCGGCAGAAGGCCGATAACACTGAGCATGGTTCAGCTGGAGGTTTATACATTTTAAGAAGGAATTTTTCCTTTCCACTGTCGCTGCATGCATGCTGGATGTGAGGGATTTCTGAAGAGTCAAGTACAAATGCAAGCTAATATCTTCGTAGCAAGCTTATCTGGGAGATGCGTGTCCTGCAAGTTACTGACTTGATGCAATCAGCTGGTGTTCCTTGTTAGACACTTTTAATCAATCTGACTGTAGGCTACTGTCTCTTGAAAAGTGCCTTGAGAGGACATGTGTGGTGCATGCGCACTATAAAATCAAATTCAAATTAATTTTACGCTGAAGACTCAGGACATGAATTGGACTTAAATCTGAAATGGAAAGACTTGATATTTTCAAAATTCAAAACATCTAGTATTTACAGAGTGCACAACATTAATGCATTGCTCTCATCACATATTATATATTCATCACATATTATTACAGCAGCAGCACTGCCCATCAAATGAATCAGATACAAAAAAATAAAATTAAATAAAAAGCTCCTAAGAATAATTTATTTGTGGTATGTGAGGTTAAAAGCGCTGAGCAAAAAATGCTAAATGTCAAACATGCAAAAAAAGGAATGTCATAGACAGAGACTGAACAACTTCTAAATGTTGGAAGTTAGAGAAAGAACTTCAGGTGGTACTTTTGTTTTAATCAATTAGCTGACTTCAGCTAACTTTGCCTTGTTAACAAATGTTCATTAAAAAAGGACACATGGTAAATTGTTTACATCTTTACTGAAATTTGAAGTTTCAAACTTAGGACTTGGCTGGAGATGTACCTATCTTGACTTAAAACTTGACCTTAAGTTGACTTCCTTTGCTTGAGACTTGACCAGGGACTTGAGGATACAGATTTAAGACTATGGTAACTGAAGACTTGCCAAAAAGTGACTTAGTTCCACCTCTGTTTCCTTCAGCAGTCAGTTGTTGTTTTAAAAGGGAGTAACATCGATAATTTATATATTGTGCCACTTATAAAGGCAGTTTATAAAAAATGGTAGACACAAAGCAAATTTACCATACCTCAGTAATATATAGTACCATTACAGTACGGTCTGTACCAATCTTTGTACTACTTTTTGTTTCCGGTGCAGCCGGTACTATAAAAGTCAGGATAACTAAACAGAGAAAGACAAAACCTCTCTTTATTTTTACATCTTTTCCTAACGTTCCTCCAAGGCAACCAGCAAACACCTGAACCTCTTCTGAATCATCTGGAATCACCCTGGCAACACCTTTACACAATTATGCCTACAAACACAAACACCCACGGCTCATCTGCTGAGCAGAACAAAACTTACCGGGTATTTCCTGTCATTTGTTGTGTTTGTGTGTCAACCGAGAGAATGAGCCCAAACCCACCATTTGTTGCATCTGCTCACCAATCAGAACGCGTCAGACAGCTGTATGTCAGAAATGGAAAATCCCCTTGCCCCTGTCATTGTTTCTTATCCAATCCAAAAGGAATTTGCCAAGTCAGAGGGGTTTTCACTTGGCCTCCAGAGGCAGAGAACTTGGGGATGGTTGGACTTTTTTAATGGTTAATGGTTTTCATTTACACTCATTTTTATCCATATTAAACTGTGTATATATCTATATACTACGTAAAAGCAGTTATATGTATCTGGCTTTCCCTGGCAATTTGTGGTTTTCTTCATCTGCATCTGCAATTGTTTCTTGAAAGAAGCTATAGAAAACCTCTGAAGCCTTGGTCTATAACGCCACCTTTTGGTGAAACAGCTGCATAGCTAAACAGAAAACTAAAAAAAAAAAAAAAGATTTTGGCAAATTACAGCAAATGTCTAAAAATATTTGCTGTACCAGTTTAACAATATTTCATCCTATCATATATTACATCATATAATACTATAGGATTATAGAACCAAAGTCACATTTGCTTTCTAGTTTCCTCTTATTTCTGAGATCATGCTTTACATATCCCCTTTTTAAATGTAAACATAGTATGGTAAGCTATTGACATAGTTTACCATAGTTCCATTACACTAAACATCAAGACAGCACATTTACAGTTACACCATCATGTAATTATTATTTGTGTGATAAGTAATGTTTGATAACTCTTAAAAAATAGTTTATTACCAATATAGTATTAAAATAACATTAAGAATTACTTGGTAATATGTACAAGAGGGGACTTCCCTTTTAAACTATGGAAGTGGATATAAAAAGAGGAAGAGGGAAAAAGAGAGAGCAAGCCAGGAACCAAATTTGTAAGATCTCCGTCTTGTCCGGATACCTTATGAATAGGCAAATTATCTTTTTTCATGTTATTTAAGCGTTTCAAAGTCAATTATAGGCATATGATAAACACTGTTTATTTGTTGTTTCCTTCCAACCTGGAAAGCTGCCTCTCCCTTGTGTGTGCCGCCCCATTTCGTGGTGTTGCTACATCTTTTGGACGAAAAACGCATTTCAAATGGCCTAGACAGTTGAAAAAAGCAGCAGTTTGTTTCAATGTGCAGATTAGGTGCTGAAAGTTTGTCTTCAATTTGAGCAAAAATTATAACAGCTGCCATCTGATGAGCCTTTAGTCACATCAACCACTTTATCTCCTCAATCTTCCCTATCTGTCAAATCAATACCACATTTTTTCCATGTCTCTAATCGAGAGACCGGTTTGAACTGCGGCTAACGTGAAACCTTACTTTACATAATAATTAACTTTAGTGGAACAGAAACATCAAGCAATAGCTTGAACATAAATATGACAAACAAATGGGATTTAAACCATCCTAGAGGTTCTTTCTTTAACCTTTCCAATATGATGTTCAAGCCTCCAGAAACAACATTGTGCTCAGCTATGTTAAATGCAGCATGGAAATCATTAGTCCATGATGATAACTATGAACACAGGCCAAATCTCTGAGGCCCTGGGAATTGTATTAATAGTTTTAACCTGTGCTGTTTCTTAGCTGGGATGAGCTTTAAACCTGATCTGTTCTTTTTAAATATCTCATCTAGGTATTAAAAGCTACTTTACAGAATGATTGAATGACATGCATGTGGCAATATTAAACAGTTTATATATTAGGAGAGCATAACTGTATGAAACAGATATTACTTGACTTAAACACAGTAATATCAACTAAACTGCAATTTGCCCCATTTCCTCTTTCCAGGTGTGCAGTCTGGATTCGTCACTCTGCCTCGACTCTCTCGAATTGACAGACAGCTTCAAGATGGCACCATATGGAAACCCTCTTCAGCAGACAATGGTTGCAGCACCTTGACCCGCTCTGACTCCCTGGCCTCTTTCACTGTTGACCTTGGTCCATCTCTAATGACTGAAGTGTTTGCTTTAATTGATAACCCCAGCTCTGTACAGATATTCAATCATAGCCAGGAGACAGCTGAGGAGGACCAGGGAGAGGAAGAGGACAAAGGTGACAACAACTCTTTGACTGAGACACCTGTTCAGACACCGACAGTGTGCTCCCCCAACCCTTCCCTGTGCAGCGGGTCTCTTAGCCCCAGATTGAATGGAAAAAATAACTCTGAGATGAGAGAGCCTAAAGAAGACAGAGGGTCTGTGAGGACGCCTGATGCCTCCTCCTGTTCGTCTCACAAGGAGTCAGTAATAGAGGCAGAGAGGTTTCAGAGGGCGACTAATGTCCTCGCTCGGCATTATGGTGGAGGATCCTTTACAGAAGGAATGAGAATCAACAAAAAAACATCTTTTTCTTTATCTGAGGAGGAGGAGGAGATCAAAGTGTAAACATTAGGAATTGAGACGGTTTAAAGTCAAAATGGGAAAATAGTTCCTTGTCTTGAAACCTTTTTGCTCCTTTACTCGAACTTTTTATGTTCAACAAAACTGACTGTCCATTTTCTAAAGAAAATGAGATTTATTTTCTGTCACAAAACTTAACCAACTTGTTTTTCTATAACTTTAGCTAATATATATCAACTAACACTATGTAAGTAATACGGTAACAAAGCACATGGTTTTGTAAATGTTTGTAAAATAGTTTTGGAAACATGTATAAGGTTAATAATGTTTATACTGATGTGTAAACCTTATAAATAACATTATAGCATTCTTATGTGTACTTTGCTTCAGGTTCCTGTAAACTGTATATTGAGCGATGTTGGATTTTCTCCTGTAAAAAGTTTTAATTTCCACCTGTAAAATACTAATTTTTAAACAGAGCTTAATCAATGTATGTAATTAGTTTCTCAATTATTTATCATCATTTTTTTTTATTTCTCAACTTGAAAAGATAATCTTCTTTAACTTATCATTAAATCATTTACCTAGTTTATAGCTAGCTGAAGTACGCCTTTCACCCTCTGCCAACCTAGAAAATAAGATTTTATGCACCAACAAAAATCTAATTGGGAGCAGTTTAGTGAAACATTATAACTCAGCTGTAAAGGGGCTACAATATTAGCTTTTACAAGACACATTTTTAACTTTCATGTGCACATATGTAAGCTTTTAATCCATAAACTACAGAGCAGTATAATTTAAAGAAAAATAAATTTTATAAAATGTCATGTTTACACAGAGGTGTGCAGCCTATCACAGAACATGATACGAGTTTGTGTGTGCAGAGACACTATAATCAACATTCTGCTGATCTATGAGAGGATAAAAATACCTCTACTGTCCCACACTAAAGGATAAAGGTGTGACAATGACAGTGGTACTAAAAAAAAGTAGATAATAGAATAGAAAAACCCTTTATTGTCCCATAATGGGAAAATTCTGGTGTTTACAGCAGCAAAAACATTTACAGTAGGAAAATATGGTCACACAAATATGGACCTTTGAAAATGAGAGCAGCATTTTATTTAACTAAGATAGAAGCAGTGCAAAATCAGCATGAAAGTAATGACTTATTGAGGTTGTTGGGAACAGAGATGGTTATAAAGTTTTACAGCTGCTGGGAGGAAGGATTTGTGATAATGCTCCCTGGTGCATTTAGGGTGCAGCAGACTGTCACTGAAGGAGCTCTCCAGTTCTGCACCAGTTTCATGCATGGGGTGGGAGACGTTATCCAACAGAGATGTTCATCTAGTTAGGATCCTTTTGTTTCCCAGCTCCTGCACTGAGTCCAGAGGGCATTCAGTCACAGAGCTGACCTTCCTGATCAGCTTGTCCAGCTACTTTCTCTTAGCTACAGATAAGCCACTTTAGGTATGGGCCAGTCAGTAACTGCATAGTATCCATGGAGATCTGTTTAGGAGAAACCACAAAACCCAAAAATGACATGTTGTGTACATGGAATTCACATTTCTCTGAATTAAAAAACAACTGGTTTTGTAACAGAACGGATCTGGCATGTTTCTTATGGGATTCCAAATCCCAAGAGTAATGATATCATCCAGGCAAAGAAAAACAAAATGTCCCACCATATCTCTAAGCACATTGGGGAGGTCTAGCTTAGAAAAAATCTTGGAACCCTGAATCTGATCGAAAGCTGAATTTATCAGAGGGATGGGGTAACGATTCTTGACTGTGATCTCATTTAGTTCCCTGTAGTCTATGCATGGTCTAAGGGAAGCGTCCTTTTTTCATACAAAAAAGAAACCCACACCGGCAGGAGATGATGAGAGATGAATAATGCCTGCCTTAAGTGAATCAAAGATGTACTTTTCTATAGCTAGAGACTCAGGGGCGGACAAAGAATATATCCTGCACCTAGGGGGTGAAGTTTGTAGCACTTAGTTGATGCCACAATCATAAGGTCCCTGCCGGGGAAGAGCGGTGGCCTTACCCTTATTAGGGGTTGTTGTACTCCTCAGGAACCTTAGTCAATTCCGGGTTAAAGTCATCCCCAACACTAGTGAGCAAGGTTTCTGGCTTAATCGAACATAAACAGGATCCAATGTCATGGTCTTGGTGCTGGTGGCTGGCTTAAGAGCTCATTCCATTCACCTGTCTGACTCTGTCCAGTTGCTTGTTACCGCTCATCTGATCCACCTCTCCCAGCTCCTATTCATGCTTCCTGTTTTCCAGCCACCAGTGCCAGATTATTTGAGCCAAGTGTGGAAGTTTTCTAGCAGTTTGCAAGTTTCTGATTTCCTGATCCTGGCTAGTTTCTGTCCCTGCTCTTCTGAGTTTTGGTTGCCCCTTTTCTGCTCTGTTGCCTGATCTGTTTTTGGATTGTTACCTGGATTTTGCCTGCAAACTACCTTGGACCTGTCTTCAGACTCCAGCTTGGATTATCAGCTTGATACCTCTGCATCTCTCTGATATTCTGGTCTAGACTTCGGCTTCATTACCTGCTCTTGATTCTGCCTCTGGACCCTCCTGCCCTTCAGCATCTGCTAACTGCTCTGCTCAGCTCCTGGACCTCCCCTGGCAGCTCCCGCCGCATATTGTAGAGCAGTCATCCGACTGACTCTCACTCCTTCCTCTGGACACCAACTGAACTTTAAACTAGGTTAGTGATTCACATGCTCGTTATAGTCCCCCATCTGAGCCTAGTGATCACTAACCTGTCTGTTTCTGCAGAAAATCCAGCAAGCCTGTCCCAACTGACACCTTAAAATCCAGAGCTTTCCAATTAAGAGACTCTCCTTTGAACCAACCTGTCCTATCTGTCTTAATTCTGGGTCCAATTGTCTGAGCCATCAATGATCATCGCAGTGGTCCCTTTTTGCAGTACATTACATCCAAGCCAGACAAGTTTAGTATCCAGTTTTGGATTGCAGGAGATCTGGACTCAAAATAAATGTGTAATGTCATCCAGTGGAAGCTGGTGGAGTTTTCTCCAGGGGGGGGGGGCTATGAATTCAAAAACCAATCAAACATATACTAAGATATCACACCAGTATGTTTATATGACTGCCAACAACAAAAACATTATAAAAACACTATATAAAAACAAAACATTATTTCATATACAGGTTTACTTTTGTACATAAATGTTGCCCTTCTGAGGCTTTGTGAAGATAAGTTTGTGTTTTGCATGGTCCAACATTTTGTCACAAACCTAAAAATAAAATGTATCAGTTTAGTATTGTAGAAGCTATTAATCAGCTTGTTTTTTTTTAATATATAAAAACTTTCTGAGTATGTGTTTGTTTAAGAGCACCTGCAGAATTAAATGTGAGCCTCGCTATCTCTCTCCTCTCTCTCTCTCTCTCTCTCTCTCTCTCTCTCTCTATCTCTCACTTCCTATCAGCTCGGGGCGCACCAGAGCTGTGCCTCTCCTATACCTTTATATTGCAGAGGAGATACTACGTATGCACAGCTTTTAACAAGAGTCAATGGGCAAAGATTTCGGTGCCCTAGGGTGGAAATACGTAAACAATCGGACTTAAAATGAAATGACGCTTTACTAGTCATTAAAGTTTAAATATGTATCTTGCACATCTAAAAAATACTAAATAATAAATAATCAATAGCCTATGTTTTGAAATATTTGAAATGTTAATTTGAAATTAAATTATAAAAAATACACATTTATATTTTTTTATGTTTTGTTCAGGGTCATTGGGTGGGTTGGGCAGCTCCATAGTGCTCGCTATTGGCCAGCTGCCACTGATGTCATCCCTTATTTGAAAGAACAGAAGACCCCAAATTACCATATGGGGACCAGTTGAATGTCACCATATGTACCTATAAGTCCTCGCATGTAGGATATTTTACAAAATACATCTTCCACATTATATGTAACATAGGAAACCCTGTCCTCCAGGGGGCATCCTACGTTACCCCCTGAAGCAACGCTTTGTGACATTCTGAGCCACTGAAGAGTGTGATTCACTTCACAATTAGCACATTCTGGAGTTGGAAAAGTTGAACCTTTGTTGCTGGATGTACCCCAAGAGTCAATCAGAAAAGCTGATATGGGAGCTGGCAGGGAGATGGACACTGTTAAGAACTGAGGTTTCACCTTCATAGATGGCAACTAGAGGCTGCATCTGGAGGGGCGCACCTATTGGTTCTGTCTGTGCACCTGTTACTCATCGACTAATCATCCTGTAGCTTAAGAGGAAGGAGACTGCCAGTAATTCTTTGCCTGAGTGTTTGCCAGTAATGGTACTCTGAGCTTCCACATAAATACTGTCTGTGTTCTTTTCCTGTATACAAACTTCTAATAATTGACTCTCGTTGTCTACGTTCTCTCAGGTATTTTCTCGTGTCGCCGGGGATCCTCCTTGTGAGGACCTTGTTCTGTTTACTGGATTCTCTCTTCTCGTGTCGCCGGGGATCCTCCTTGTGAGGACCTTGTTCTGGTTACTGGATTCTCTCTCCTTGTGACGCTGTGGATTGTTACTGACTGGTTGCCCGAATCCCTCCAGTTTGATCACAAGCAGTTCATGGATTCTCCAGCTGGCAGTCAGATCGCTCCTTTGTCCTCCAAGCCTGAGTAGACCTGTCTGCCCTCCACCACAGTCTTCGCATTATCACATGAACTCACTCAGTCAAAACACCTCTCACCTCTTGGTTGAGGAGAAAGTTCTGGTGCTCTTTACTATGGCATAATCAAGCTAGTCTCCCCCTGTTGGTCATATATCGGCACTACATGTGCTGAACAAAATAAAATATGACTGTACTTAAACCAAACTGCTGGTAAGAAACATTTATCAAAAATAAACAGTGAATATACCTCCGACTTATAATGAGCCCATTTCAATGTGTCACACAATCCCCAGTAAAGTTGAATGTTGTCCTCAACATCATGAATTACTTCTACAAGGACAAAAGCAAAACATTGTTCCTATAACAATTCTTAGGCGCTTAAGCTTGTGAACCATGCAACCTTTTCGGTCACATTCTGTCAGTTGAATACTTAAACTTTTTGAAAGTATTACAGGAGGACACTCACATTTATAATGTCCTTAATTCTGGTGCCTAAACCATTCTAATACAGATTTAACACAGCTTAAGAGCATGTTGTTTGGGAAATGTCCATTTTACAGCCCATACAAATAAAGTGCTGGTTGATGCATAGCTGCAAAGGGGACATATGGGTTGGAGGAGTTGAATAATAGGGCAGTGTAGCGAGCGAGACTGTAACACGATGGAGAACAACTTTTATCATATCTAATGTCTAAGGGGTTGTCACAGTCTCTGTGGTCGCTGTGATCTTATTTTCGTTTCATATCGAAAAGTTTGATCAGATGGAGCCACTAATGTCGGTGTTCTAGTATCTGGTAAGTTTTGCATCAGGATATCCTTGCTGCCTGACTGCTCCTCATTATCCGGTTCAGATTCACATCATACACTGGTAAACTTCCAGTGTATGATTTATAGGTCCCGCTTCAGCTGCATAAGGTGGGGTTACAGGTGAATTTAAGGCCCATTTAGAAGCAAAAAATTCCCGAATGAATATTGTAGTTTTTTTCTGATACCGACAGCATTTGGGATCCATATGCAATAACACACAACTTTTTCTTTTTGATACAGGACAACTCCTAGGCCGTAATTGGACGCATCTGTATGAAGAATAAAAGGGAGAAAAAATTGGAAATGCTAATGTGGATGGCTGAATCAGACAATTTATCAGCTTCTGAAGAACTTGCTGGTGACTTTCTGTCCATTCAATTGGGATGTGAGATGGCACTACAGTTGAAATCATAAAACTTTGTGACTTTCTGCCTTTAGAAGGTGGCTGACTATGATCTTTAACTGGTCCCTTGGTTAGGTCATACAGTACAGAGGGGTAACAGTGCAGGAAAAGTCTTTGATATATACCCGGACAGCTGCATACTTAGACTCAGACAGACTTTATTGTCATTTTGTACACACAGTGTACACAAAAAGAAATTTCAT